GGGGGGGTCTCTTCTGCACGGTTCAGGGGGGGACCTCGGGGCTTCCCCTCCCTGCAGAGCTGAGCTGCAGGCTGCCAGGTTCATACGAGCTCAAGGTGCTGCTGTGTCACCCCGTGTGCCCAAGCTCGGGCTCGGGGGCTGGCAGGCCCTGGGAGCAGCCGGTGTGTCTGGCAGCCAGCACCCACTGGCATCGGCCTTTCCAAAGCCAACTGTCCCCAGGAGCGGCTCCACGGTGTGGCTGTTGTGCCTCTGATGATGTGTGTGGGTGCCCCGGTCCCCCCGACACAGGCTGCAGCCCTGGAGAGCGAGAAAGTTGCATCTGGTGGGGTGATGTTCACAGCTGGGAGGGATCGCCATGCCCCCGGGGGCACCCGAAGTGCCTGTGTTGGCCAAGAGCACGAGGGCGTGTGGCAGTGCTCTGGAAAGCAGGTGGCTCCCAAAACCACATCGCTGGTACGGAGCAGGCAGGCGGCCTCTGAGACCGCCTGTGCCAACCTACCTGTCGCTGTCCCTGTCCTTGTCCCCGTCCCTGCTGTCTCTTATACACATCTCGGTGTGGGGCGAGGGGTGGTCAGGCAGCGCTGGCCCCCTCCCGCCTCACGTGTGTGATCGCCCGTCACCGCAGCGAGAGTGCAAGAAATAATAGTAATAAATTGTTTTGGTATCTCGGGGGTAATTGCACTTAATGGAGATGAACGAGGCAGTGATTTATCTCGCTTGCGTTATGCCATCGGGTTTCCAGCTGCACGAGCCTCGGATGATAAAATAATGTATTTGCTGCCCTCTGCTCAGCTGGTGCATCACCCAAAATGCCCCCACAGTGTCCCCCTTGCTCCGGGGACCTCCCTGTGTGCACCAGGAGCTGGAGGCTGCTCCCTCCTGCAAGGACCCAGCGGCACTCGCCTCCTTTTTGGGGTGCTGCTGGCATTGCCTCGCCCTGGGCTTGGCCCCCCCCTCACCGTGCTGCAGGCGCTGGCATGGAGACCTTCACCCAGGCACCTGCCAACCCTGGCACACCATGGGGGTGCAACGCAGAGGGGGCGTTTTCCCAAGGAGGAGGAGGAAGGGGATTTGGCAGGGGGGGATGTTGGCAATCATCAATGGGAAAGGCGGTGGGACCCCAGGCATCCCCTCCCCCCCGCCGGCGTGGCCAAGCTTAGGCCGTAAAAAGAAAGAGCTGGTACCAAGGATAACATGCTTCGCATTCCTGCGCCGTCTCTGGGGGAATTTCGACTGATCTACATGAAAAATACTCACTGCCCCCGAGGTCAAAGTGTCTGGAGGAAAAATTTCCGAGCGGAAAAGCTTAAAGTGGTGCAGAGCCACAGCCAGCAGCCAGCTCCGGGGTCTCACCTGGCACGAGTGGCCAGTGCCTGTGCCACCATGGCTAGGGCCAATGTGGCCAGTGCCTACGCATCTGTGAGCAGGGCCAGTGCCACTGTGGTCCTCCGCAGGGTGCAGGAGGCTGCTGCCACCACCCGTGAGCCTGTCCGGCCTCCCCTGTCTCCACTGGGGCCAGGGGGTCTCTGCCTGTCCCCGCTGTGCAGCTTCGCTTTTCTTTTTCTCGCAGCCAGGGAAAGGGCAGGGGGGAGCCGCTGCTGGGAGCTGAAAACGCCCCGTGCAGCCCCTCTCCGCCGAGCCACTGCAGTTAAAACAACAGTTCATGAGTCCAACCCCCTGCAGCCGCTCAGGGAGGGCAACTCCTGGCCAGAGACAGGGACAGGGACAGGGACGGGGACAGGGACGGGGACAAGGACAGGGACAGCGACAGGTAGGTTGGCACAGGCGGTCTCAGAGGCCGCCTGCCTGCTCCGTACCAGCGATGTGGTTTTGGGAGCCACCTGCTTTCCAGAGCACTGCCACACGCCCTCGTGCTCTTGGCCAACACAGGCACTTCGGGTGCCTCCGGGGGCATGGCGATCCCTCCCAGCTGTGAACATCACCCCACCAGATGCAACTTTCTCGCTCTCCAGGGCTGCAGCCTGTGTCGGGGGGACCGGGGCACCCACACACATCATCAGAGGCACAACAGCCACACCGTGGAGCCGCTCCTGGGGACAGTTGGCTTTGGAAAGGCCGATGCCAGTGGGTGCTGGCTGCCAGACACACCGGCTGCTCCCAGGGCCTGCCAGCCCCCGAGCCCGAGCTTGGGCACACGGGGTGACACAGCAGCACCTTGAGCTCGTATGAACCTGGCAGCCTGCAGCTCAGCTCTGCAGGGAGGGGAAGCCCCGAGGTCCCCCCCTGAACCGTGCAGAAGAGACCCCCCCCGTGGATCTGGCTCCTGTTATTCTCATGGCCGATCTAATAATTTAATTGCACATTTGAAAATAAATACTCGTCTGGGGTTGGGGGAAAGAAAAGGCTTATGGAAGAAAATTAAGAGGAATTTAATTAAGGGCAGTGCTGGGAATGTCTCTACCACAATAAAGATAAGGAGGATCAATTGCTTCTTCCTAGGATCAAAGCGAAGGGCTGGAGGGGGGAAGCGGGACTGTCGGGCAGCTACAAAGAGCAGGGGAGGGAGGGGAAGACAGGGAGAGAAAGGCACACAGGAGAAAGCAGCAGAGAGACAGCTAGATAAGATTAGAAAAAATAATTGATCGCGTAGCTCCCCTCCCCGAGGGCTGCCCGGACTCCTCGCAGGTCGATTGTAGCATGGCAGAGGCTGGGGGGGGGTGTCCACGCTGTCTCCCCAGCTGCCTCCTGCCTGGCAAAAGTCACCAGGTAGGAGCAGAGGGAAGGGGCAGGACCGTCCCTCCCGTTCAGGCTGGTTTGTCTCAAGGTACCGACCCCGCCGGGCACCGACTGGGCACCTCAGCTGAGAGCGCTGCTTGGCCGTGCCCATCCCCAGTCGCCGTCGCAGGGCTGAGCGGGGCCACGCAGGTCCCACCCTAAATCAGATTAAACACTGGGTGCCCCACGCCAGCCACCAAACGGCCAGAAGCATTAGCCAAAGGCTCCGGGTCCTGCTACCCCCTCCCCAGGGCTCTGCTGTCCCCGTCCCCCCGTGGGTTGATTCCCTCCTGCCCACCAAGAGCAGGCTGCTGCGGGCAGACGCAGGCAGAGCTCAGGGCTGTGGGGTGGCATCGCAGGCAGCTCCCCGACTGCCAGCACCCTCAGCCCGGCCCTTCAGCTGCTCCTGGAGCACCCGAGGTTTGCGCAAGCCGCTGGCTGCCGTCCCTCAGGCACGGCGGGTCCCCGGGGGGGCCCGTCTGGGGCAAAGCCCTGCCAGCGCAGTGACTCAGGTGGCCCCGCGGGACACCAAGTTTTGCAACACCTTCGCCAACCGCCGCGTCACCACGATGGCATCTCGGCAGTGCCCAGGCCAGCACCGCTCAGGCCAGGCAGGGCTCTACTGAGGCTGGGGCGAAGGGACCAGACCCCGAGAGAGGCTGCACCCCAACACCACAACCCTCCTGGCTGGCTCTGCACAGCGGTGGGCACAGGCCTGCTGTTAGCCAGCACGGGGCAAGCAGGAGGCTCTGAAATGCCTCTGCCAAAAGCCATTTCTGCATCATTCGGGAGCCTTCGTCCCACAGCCCAGTGCTGTGAGGGAGCTTGTCCCGTGTCTCACACGGGAAGGGAGTGTGGGACCGCTGGGAGCTACAGGGGAGGGGGATTTTCCCAGCGTATCTGGTTGCCTGTGAATGCAAAGAAGCACCCAGACGGGTTTCCTGAAAGGGCTGGACCTGGCAGGTCCCAAATTCAGGAGGCTGGTACCCAGCCAACTACGGCAGACCTGACGATCCAGCGAGGCGACACTTTGCATCTTGAGGCACCCAAGTAACTGCGTGACTCCAGTTTGTTCAGGTGTAAAATGGGAATGCCAGTACCCATCTAGCCACAAGACCCATTGCGGAGTTGCCAGGAGGCCTGCTTCTTGCTCACGGTGTTTGCATAGGTTGGGACATCATCGCCATGTCAGGAGCAGGTTTGCATCCCAGCTGGGAATTTCCTGCAGCGGGACTGCCCTGCGTGCGAGCCCAGCCTCTGCCTCCGGAAAAAATGGGCTCCTCTCTTGCCTCACCTACTTTTGCAAGAAGCCAAGCCCGCACGCGGAGAAAGCGGTTCAGCCGGCTCCGAGCCTGGCAAGGAGACAGCATCTGGGTGTGCCACGTCCCTGCAGAGCCCCGTCGCAGCCCTGCTCTCGCCGGGCGATGGCAGGCGGCAGCCCCGGTGTGCCCGGCTGGGCGGTTGAGCCAGCGTGGCTGGTTTGCCATGTCTCCGCGGGAGCCCCGCCGGCTTTGAGCCTCCCGTGCCTGCTTTGCACATATATGAAGCCCTTGAGAAGCGTACAGGGTTTTATCGCCACATGGCAGCTGGCCATGCAGCCGTGCCCGGCCCCTGCGGGGGGCTCAGCAAGAGAGGGGCTGTGCGGGGCAGGATGCTCAGACAAAGGGCTCTCCCGGGAGAGCATCTGTGGGTCCCACGACGCGAGTGTGGCTTTCACATCCCAGCAGCTCCCGCCGGGAACGGTGGGGTGGATGCCCCGCAAACAACGGGTGGGATGGGAGATGGCCAGAGGGTCCCCTGACTGCAAAGCAGAGCACAGCACCCTCTGCCCAGTCCTGCTGCAGGGAGGAGCCCAGCCCCAGCGCTGCACACCCCAGCACTGCTGGTGGAGAGATGGGCAGAGTCGTCCTGCTCGGAGAAATCCCACAGGCTGGCTCCTCCAGGAGAGACCCAGCGGCCTGAGCAGCACGGCCACAGCTTCGGGAGGGCCTTCAGGGTGGTTACCAGTGCCTGGTTATCTGCGTCCCCAAAAGGGTCCCTGGACACATTTTTAAGTCTCAGGCTCAGAAGCGATGCAGCCATTCCTCACGCTCCGGGGAAACAGGATCAAAGTTTCCGGGTGCTGCTTTCTCCCCTTTTTCGGCTGCTCCAGGCTGCAGCAAAGTGCCATTGAAGATGGGAGGACTTTCATGTGGGGATTTCTCTTCTTCAGATCTTCAAAGAAATCCAGCAATCAAACAGGTAGTAGTGGAGGCACCTTAAGAAAAAAAAAAAAAAAAAAAAAAAACCCCAAAAGCCCCACTTTGAAAGCATCACATGCAAAAGAAACATCTAAACTTTGTTGTGTTAATTGTTCTGGCACTCAAAGTTATGACAAAATGTCTTAGAAACATTGTTGGCTCTGGGCCCACGATGTGTCAGGCAGACACAAAAAATGTTCAAGCAGAAAACCTGAGGAAAATAAAAAAAAAATACCAACAGCAGGAGATTCTTCTACAGGAAGGAACAGCGGCGTGGCTGTCGGGCAGCGGGTAAGAAAAGCCCAGAGCACCTGGGGCATCCACAGGTATTTCCCTGAGCCACTCCACGCCCTGGGCATCGTTAGGAGCCGGTTGCTAACGAGAGCAGGCTGTGGCCCTGCCACCATCTCCTTCCCACTGACACAAGAACGGTTCTTGCAAGCGCCAGCGCTGATGCCAGCTGCACCCCAGCTCTGCGGGCAGCTGCTTTCTCAACAGTTCCGTGCAAATGGGTTTTGCCACAGGCTGTCCCTGGAAGTCACAAGCATCCCCCCCCCCTCTCTTCGCCCCGGGAATACGTACATCTCCCTTCCCACGCCACGTCCCCCCTGAGCCTGCTCTGCCTGCCCCACTCTGAGCCCCAAATATGGGCTCGGCACATCCGGGCTCCCCGGCACAAGCCCGGACAGGAGCGGGGTGCCGTGGGGTGACTCAGGGCCCCGGCAGCTCCCCGAAGCCAGGGGAGCGCTGACAGCTCCCCTCTGCCGGGAAACCCGGCCTGGCCCGGGCAGGACCTGCTGGGAGTGGTGGTGGAGCCGCTCACTTCCACTCCTCCACTCAGCTCGCTGCTGCCCTGTCCCCAAAATACCTTTTTCTCCCCTTTTTCAGGGCACAGGGGCACTGGGGCTGCTGCTGGATGTCGCGGGGGTTATAGGTCTGGGCTGGTGCATGGTGCAGCACGCCTGGGGTGCAAGTCACCCACCAAGTCACAGCCACCCCCACCCCACCCCCGAAAAAAAAAATCACTATAAATGCCCAATTTTCATGCCTGAAAATCCCTACACCTGCCTTCTGGCAATGTCCGCAGCACCAGTTCTTGGGGTGCAGCCCATGGGGACATACCGACGTCCCCAGGATGAAGCCAGCACCCCAAGGACCAGCAGAGGGGGGTCCGGGCTGTCCCCCAGAAGCCACAGTGCTTGCTGCTGGCTGGTTTCACCCGGGTAACCCCTCGGGACAGTGCCAGGGGAAGCTTGCACCAGTTGGTATAAATCCCCAGGACAATATGTTGTGCTCCAAACACTCCAGCATCACCTCATCACCCCGGACAATTTATCTTTGGGTGTTTCTCCCCATTTCCCTCTCCCCCCAGGCCAGCCCGGCACAGCTCCTCTCCCACACGCCAAGGCTGCCCGTGCTGGCAGCAAACGCAGCAGGTCGGCTGAAGTCACCCCCAAAAAATGGCATTTTCTCAGCAAAATGCCGCTGAGGTCATTTTCACCCGCTTCAAACACCCAAGAGTCGGGTGGGGGGGGGACGACGGGACGGGGCGGGGGG